CCTCTCTTATGAGGGCCAAATCCATGTCTAACTGCCAACCAGACATTTCCATCAGGAAATCCCACAGGCACGTCAAAGTCCACAAGGCCAAATTGCAACAGCCCTGTACGTATGTATGTGCCCATACAATTCAGACACTCACAACACCCATTGAAGTCAATATTGGCTTTTCTTCTTCATTCTTATTTCACTTTCCAGACACAGATTAAACTACTGCCTTTTTTGGGAGCCCTTCACAACCTTAGGCAGAATTCATTTCTATTTTGTCCATATTCTCACTGTTTTTAGTACATATCCTTAATACTATACTTACACCTTTTTGTTGTGATTATTGAAGTAACTATCTTTCTCTTCTGCTACACCATAAACCTCTAAGGCAGATGACATTTTTGTTGCTGTCTTGTTTTGTTTTTGAATGGATTAATTTGAAAACACTCAAATCAAATGCTGTTTTTAAAAGAAAATTCTGTTACAGTAGGTATGAGTTGAAGCATCTCTTACTTTCCACATACGTGCAAGTGGTTCTAATGTGTTCTAAGGACTGAAAATCACTGAATTACGCAAATAGCTAGACTGAGAGTACTGCTAACACAATAAATATTTTTAAAAAACTCTTTGGGTGTAAGTATACACTCTTATATTTGGTTAAATATCTGATATGTCACTCTAATGATTTCTGGTGATGGCAACAATTTTCTAAGTAGTGTATCAAATCATCCTTTTATAGTTTCAGCCACATTTTTTTTTGAGATGGAATTTCACTGTTGTTGCCCAGGCTGGTGTGCAATGCCATGATCTAGGCTCACTGCAACATCTGCCTCCCATGCATCAGCCTTCTGAGTAGCTGAGATTACAAGCGTGCACCACCACGCTCGGCTGATTTTTTGTATTTTTAGTAAAGATGGGGTTTTGCCATGTTGGCCAGGCTGGTCTCAAACTCTTGACCACAGGTGATCCACCTGCCTCAGTCTCCCAAAGTGCTTGGATTACAGGTGTGAGCCACCATGCCCGGCCCAGTCTGTACACATTTAAAACACCCTGACTGTTAGATATGATAAATATTTTGATGGAGAGATGGAGCCATTTACTGAAGAAAAGTAGGTTGCAAAACAACCTGTACAAAATATTCCCATTTTAGTAGCAACTGCATAGATGGGTACACATGTGTACAAAAGAATCATGAACAACATACACTAAGTTGCTGACAGTAGTAATATTCGGCTGGTAGTGGTGTTTATTTAATATTTTACTTTATGTGTCCAACATAAACAGTTTTTATAATAACCAAGTAAAAAAAAATGCATACACCTCCTATCAGAATTGATAGGAATCTAGAAGGGAAAGTGATTAATATAAACTGAATGCTTTATGCATCAGGCAGTATGCTAGATGTTGGGGATAGAACAACTAATAATGTAAGGACAGGTCTAGAGAAGTTAAACAGCATATCCATGGGTTATTATAAACAAATAATAGAATTGGGATTAAATCCAGGTATTTATGATTCCAAAATAATATTTATTCCATTTCATCTTGGTTCTCTGGGTCCAGTAACATTCCTGGGCAAAACTTAAGTTTTTTCTGCTCTGCTCACATTATTTCATGCTATGAATCACAAGGATCGTTACCATGGGGCCTGTTTCAGGATACTCTTCATTCATCAACTTAATCTTTATCATCTTTCCTAATGTTTTGGTCAACTAATCTGATAAAATAATTTATGCAAAAGAATTGATGTACTGGTCATTGTACTGAACACCCAAGTGCCATGTATGTGCAGCCTATTACGCTTGATGTTGGGATGACAGGGCTCATTTTCAAGTGGAGGGTTTGGAAAGCTAAACACTCCCAAGGTGATTGCATCACAATCTGGTAAATGCTATAATAAAGAAAACAAGAAAACAGTCACTGTGAGCATGGAGAAGTTAAATGCTTAATTCTGTACTGGAAGTCACAGAGAGCTTAACAAGAAAGTAAGTAGGCAAAGGGCATATGGAGCAAAGACCAATACCTGTGCAAAGTAAACGTGTAACAGTGAAAGAACCCTCCTTCCTAAGGATCAGCTTGACCATTTTATGTCAACTTCCTACAAACTGATTGCACTTATATTGATGCCAATTTCCAATGCTAAGTGTCTCCGGGTTTGCAGCAGACTAGTAGTCTGAAATACTTTCAGGCAAACCTTTCAGCAGATCTCACAGTAACATCTCTTGAAGCAAAAACCTGTGGCTTATGCAGCCTCTCTTTCATATTAGTACATGTTATTCTCACTGAACTGCATCCCTGAGCACCTCACATAGTGACATGTTTAATGTAGCTGGGTTACCTAATAATATTTGCAGAAATTAGGAAGCTGTCGGGAGAGCTTTGTGAATTGCTTTCTAAAATCACTCTGAATTATCAGCTAACGAAAAAATTTGGGCAAACTGTTCAACACTGAGTACAAGCGGATAAAAATCAACCTCTGGAACATTCAATTTTGTTTATCATTAATGCTAGAGTATATTTAACGGATGAATTTTTTTCCAGAGTAGTCACCTCAATTTATTCCAGTAGGTATCCTTGATAAGTAAATTATTTCAACCCTTTTTAAAAGACAATAGAAATTAACTCATTCCAAAGAGTAAAGGAGAGGAACATAAACTTTTGGATCCGAAGTATGCTTGGAGAGAAATATGTGAATAGGTAGTTAGTGATAAAAAGAATTAACATTTTATGCATAGCTGTAAGTAACTGAGGCCTTTCAGGCATCAGTGATAGGTAATATATACATAAATATTTGCACTTCCTTATGTACTTTGAGTTGTCTTTATGAGCTTCCTGAAGTGTTGACATTTTTTTCAATTATTTCACAGTTACAGGTTACATAATTAATTGTAGTTCTATAGATCAGGGTCTCAGAATTAGAAAATATTTCAAAATAACTAGACAGTTACAAAATATAAACATACACATAGATTAGCTTTTAAAAAGTTAAGCCATGTGACTTGGCATCAAAAAGATATACTCAAAAATACAAAAAAGTTAAGAGTGAGTCAGTGATGAAATTAAGAACCAAGACGGAGAAGAAATCAGACATGTCTTCTATTTCTTCTCTAAAATCCCACCCCAGGTAGAAAGTGTTATTTACTCTAAAAATGTTTTGCACATGTCCCAAAATAATTGCAAGAATGCCAAAAAAAAAAAAATTCTCTATTGCCTACAAGAAGATAGGCAGTGAATACTTTGGTGAAGTTACTGGGTAACATTTAAGGAAATTTTTAGTAAATATTTTATTTATTTATTTATTTATAAGACATGGGGTTTCACCATGTTGGCCAGGCTGGTACCGAACTCCTAACCTCGTGATCCACCTGCCTCAGCCTCCCAAAGTGCTGGGATTACAGGCCTTATATTTTGTAAAGTTAAGAGGCAAACTATAAAACATGTTTCAAAATTAATTTCAGACAAAAAGCAATCAAATATTTTAAATAAATCTTTAAACCTAAATAATTACAGGAGAAAAGATTAATTTCCAGTGACAAATAATATTTATACATGTTCCTTCCTGTTGTAAAATCACATATGGGTAAAGTTTATGAATGGATAAGCTCAACAGCCTGACCTGAAAATAAAGTAGGGCAAAGTTTACCAAAAAACAGTGGGAAACACAACAGGATTCTATATTATTTAAGAGTAAGTGTTTATTTATTTATTGACTTAAAACTTTAAACTCTAGGTCTCCAGAGGCAAATACATTCGTCCAGTAAACATTTACTTATTGCCTTTCATTTGCTAAGTATCAGTGGAGAAATGAGGCAATATAAAGATGACGGTTACATTCTCTGCACTCAAGACATTGACAACTGAGATGGAGACACATGCGTGCACACAAATACAACTTACTGCTATATAACAACAATTATATTAGCCTTTATAACAATGGCTAGAAACAAAAGTTCACTTTTTTTATTTGTTATAATAATGGCTAAAAACAAAAACTTACTATTTTTGTATTTTTTAAATGATTTTTAGTACAATTTATTTTATTAACTTACTCGGATTTGTGACTGAACAGCATGTTGTGTGTGTACACCAAGACAGCATCTGAGTGCCCATACATTTAAGGAAAAACACACGTGACAAAATCCTAATCCTAAGTCAGCATAACCTGGCCAGTTTTTGAGAAATGGCAAATATTCCTTCTCACTTCCAATAGTCTCACATATGGAGAATTACCTTTCTTTCATAGCAGTCCACAATTTATATTTATCTGAGACCCAGTGTACTTTTCTTCGACCTCATAGTATTAATCTCAGCTCATCGGAAACAAACTTCCTGTGTTCTTTATATTGCATACTATTACACTGAAGGTTTATAACATCACTACTTTTTAACAACACACTTTAGGAAAGACTCTTTGAACTTCACAAAATAAAATCTTATAATCTTTTTTTTCAGAAGGTGCTATTTTTGGTCTTTGATTTTCTTTTTTATTGTGAATTACCTCTTAAGCAGAATTGAAAAATGTTAAATATCCTCAAATATAACATTTTCTATTAAAAACAACAACGGCAAAAATATCCAGTCTATATCCTAGATCAGTATACATTCTGCCCAGCCTGCCATACATTCCACATTCACATTTCCTGCTTTGCATGTTGGCGCCAATGCACTGTGCAAGTTTTTCAAACAACATACATTCAAATATATTCACAAGTATTGATAGTACTAAGGCAACAA